CCCGCCCTTTACGGAAGTTGGGGCCACTCTGATCCAGGCCCATCTCTGCCCGCCCTCCCCCCCCCCTCAGGCTGGGCCATCGCGCTGATGAGGAGAACGATGGCCCCTGCCCCGTGGTGGCGCTGCTGCTGCCCATACACCAGCAGCTGCCACGCCTCACCTCAGGCCAGCTCAGCAGGTGCGGCCCCAGCGGCAGCATCGCGTCGCTCGCCCTGGCGGGCTCATCGGCATGCACCCCATCCGGTCGTCACCACCTGCGCTGCCCTTACTGTGGCCCTTATCGAGCCTGCTCGCCTGCTCCCCTCATCCCCTCTCCTCTCCCAGCCTGCTGTGGGCGCTGGCCAAGCTGAACGCCCCTGCGGCCCACCTGCTGCCGCTGCTGTTCGAGGAGGCCGCGGCCCAGATGCCCGCGATGACTAACAAGGAGTTCTCACAGTCGGTCTGGGCGCTCGCGAAGCTGAGGCCCCCGAGGGCAGCGCGGCGGCCGCCGGTGGCGTTTGTGGACCGGCTCTGGCAGGTGCGCACCCCCGCCGGCTCGCGGCTGGGGAGCGGTGCGACGTGCCGCATGCGACTTGGGAGGGCCACCATCGTCGCGAACAACTTTTGCGGCAGGCGGATTGGGAAAGCCTTGGATCGCCGCAGGTGGAACCCCAACCCGTATCGAACCCTCTCTCTCCACATCGCAGCAAGCACACCTGCGCTCGGGCCGCCTGGCCCCCGCGGATAGCACGCGCCTCATCTTCAGCGTCGGCCGCCTGGGCCTGGACGTGCCCCCGCGCTGGCTGGCCGGCGAGCTGGCGGCCGCCCAGAAGTCGCTGGGCAGCTACCGGCCTGAGGAGCTGGTGGGCACGCTGGTGTCTCTGGCGCGGATGGGGCGGTCGCCGGGGGCGGGCTGGATGGCGGCGCTGGAGGAGGCCACGCGGCTGGAGGAGTTCACGCTGCAGGTGCGGGGCGGGGGCGGGGGCATTTGTGGGGGCGCGCCTGAGGGTGGGGGTGGCATGCTCCGGTGGTCCACCAGGGCAGGGCAGTGGAGGCGCTGAGCTTGGCTCGATAAGTGGGCTGCAGGCCGAGGGTCGAGGGGGTTGACCGCCAGCAGCGCAGCTGCTGCCGCGCTGGTGCACGCTGGGCGCAGCGTTGCTCAAGGCAGGCCTGTCGCGCAGTGCAAGTCAACGCGCCACCCGTGTTGTGTCATTACAGTCAGCCTGTGCCGCGAGCCCACGCTCTTGATTTTGACAAACCCTTGCATCCACGCACATGCACCTTTGACAGGAGATTGTCAACACGCTGTGGGCCTTTGGCGCCCTCGGCCACACCCCCAGCCTGCCCTGGCAGCACGCCTGCGTCACAGCGCTGCGCACAGCGTGCGCCGAGTCGTGCGGCACGTCGGAGCCCTTTGACCCTGAGCAGGCCGCCGCGCTGCTGCACGAGGCGGGGCTGCTGCCGGTGCTGCGCGACGCGGTCGCGGAGCAGGTGGCGGCGGCGGAGGCGGGGGGCGGGCCTGCTGGCGCCGAGGGCGGCTGCGGCGGCGGGGAGACCTGCCCGCTCAGCCTCGGGTTTGAGCTGCCGCTGGGGGCGGCGTGAGGCCCGAGCCCGCGGCCCCTTTTTGAGCTTGCAAGGGACTGGAACCTGTAGATATGAGGAGCGGTGGGACAGATGTTGTCGAAATGCGGTTTTGTGCGACTTGGGCCTTGAGCCTGGTCATGTTTTGAAGGCGGGCGGGCAGGCAGCCCTCAGCCAGGGCTTGCTTGCCCTTTGCGGCAGGACAAGGTACCGTGCGGCTCCGCGCATGTGCGTGCTTTCCTTGACGGGCGACGCTCAGTGTGCCGAGTGCGTTGTGTTCATGGGAGCCGAGTCGTTGCGCGCTGATTTTTGGTGTGGAGGGGCTTGACGCCCCACTGGCGGGCTACACTTGGCACTCAAGAGCAGAGGGCGTGTGGCACTCCGCTGCCTCGCGCGCAGGCCACAGTCTGTGTCGTGCCTGTTGCTTGGCTGTGCCTGTGACGGCCCCCGAGGGCCCGGCGCTACCGCCCGCTAGTTGCGCCGTTGCGGCGCATTGGCTTGCATCCGCAGACCGCGAGAGTTGCATCTCAGATCTGCGGCTTTTTGGAGAGGTGTCGCACCCCACCAGCTGCATCCACCTGTGTCGTTTTGTCCTCGTGCGCATGCCCCAAGCTGCGCCGTCAGCGCTGCTGGGGTGCTGTTGAGAACCAAACCCAGGAGAGGCCTGTGCTCGCCGTGTGTGTCACGCACGGTCGTGGTTGGAAACCCCCTCTCCACGCAGGGTTGCACTCTGAAACGCGCCTGTTCCCTTTGAAGCAAAAGACGGGCGCGCTGCTTTTTGCCCCTTGGGCCCCGTCCTGTTGTCGCGGCGACCGTGTTGGTCGGCTGTACATGTGCATCTGGTGGGGCCAGCCCCTGCCAGTCCCTCACGACTGTTGCCTTTGGTCAGCCCGTTTCCTTTGGGGTGCGGCAGTTAGCTCTTGGGAGCGACAGAACCAGTGGCATGCCCCCGTAGTGTTCCGTGTCCGCTCACGTCTTGCTCCGAGATTGCCGCAAGACGCGGTCGAGCTGCCGGCGGCAGTTTTTGTACCTCTGCCCCGCGCTTTGCTTCCGTCTGCCGAGCGTCCTGTGCCGCCGCTGCTCACCCACGCGCCTCCTTGCGCACATCTGGCAGCCCGTGTTGTCCAGCAGCGGGCCCAGGGGTGTGCGGTTGGAGGAGCACCTGCAGTTGTGCAGCGCGTTGCTGGGGGATTGCCGTTGATTGAGCGCCTGTACTGCTGTGTACAACACTTAGCCCATGGACCCGTGGCAGCATTGAACACCGCTCGGTTACCCAAGGCGGGCAAGGTTTGTGCTGTCTCGCGCGACATGGGTGGCAGGCACCACCACCGCCCGCCTCACATCTAACCTCATTTCCTGCCGACTCAACCAGCTTGGACCGCACTTTCCCTTGTGCCATTCCGATGTCGATTGGTGTTGCCTCAGTTGCCAAGCCGTGGGCGATTTCAGCGTCGACTTGTCTGTGACAACGCCCCTTTTTGCTCAGAGACGAAAACATTATTGCCACATTGACGTGCTTCGCGTATACATGCGTTGCACGCGCGAAGGCTGGCTAGCTGTTGACGTGCGGTATGCACGAGGTCAGGGCATCTGTCTGCATTGTAATCCTAGAATCACTTTGGGCCTGTCCTGAAGCGCACCACAAGCTAAGGCCAAGAACTCAGAAAAGTTTGGGCTTAGCATCCTCTGGCGTGCATCACAAGTGCAGGGGACCCTTGAACACATTACGGATTGAGTGCATTTGCTGGCACAGAAGCTGTTGCGTCTTCAGCGCCGACGCGCGTCCAAGGAGCGCCGCCGGAATGCACAGCGGAGCAGGCCCGGTATCTTGACGGCCTTGGAGGCCGTGACATGCTTCAGTGCCCCTGCGGCCACACGATCGAGGCTCCTTCATTGCGCAGTCGTCTCGTGTGAAAACGCACAGCTTTGAAAGCGGCAGGTGTGCAGCCGTCAGCACCGGTGTACGCCACGATATATTTGTTATTGACAACTCAAGTATCATATTGCGATAACTCGTTCAGATCAGTGCACCGAAAGTGAAATTGCCGGATCGCAGCAGCGCGCTATCATTCTCCAGAACTTGTGACATTTTGCCCGTTTCATATCGAAAAGTGCTGCGCAGCGATGCTTTACCCCTCCTCTCGCGTCAGCGCTCTGGCTTCGCGCACTCCGAGGCTTCGCCACGCCTCCGTGAGGCCTGCAAGCGCCCTTGCACCGTCCGCAAACGGCTTTAACGGCGCAAGGCCGGTGGATAAGACAGGTGAGAGGCGCGGAGGTCCGCACGGCGGTACTTGCTCGGGGGGAACAGGGGCGCTGATTGATGCGGTCGCGGCATTCGTTGTGACCGGCACAATCCCCTCAGCAAACCCACAGCTATTGTCTACAACCACAATTCTTGCGCAATCATTGATCATTAACAACCGCTGCTTTCACATCACCACCATGCCAGCCAACCCCCTTAACCTCGTATTCGTCGCTGCTGAGGTTGCGCCCTGGAGCAAGACGGGTAAGTGCGCTCACAGCGCCCTGTGTTATGCGGCGCAGCTGTGTGTTGCGATGTATCGTGCCAGGCAGTGCCCTCAACGTGATGTCAGCGACGTCCTCTTGTAGGCCCGCAGCGTGTGCCTGCATCAAGTCTGTTGACGCCCAATCATACATGCAGGCGGCCTGGGCGACGTGGTCGGCGGCCTGCCGATTGAGCTGGCTAAGCGCGGCCACATCGTCCTGACCATCGCCCCCCGGTGGGTGACCAACCTTTAGCACCCTCCCTGGTCCTCTACAAGCCACCGTGAGGCCTGCATCCCTCGCATTTTGCCTGGCCCCAGGTGCCTTTGCTGCACCCACCACCGGTTGTGACCCCTGTGGCCCCCCGTGGCGATGACGGTCTCTTGGATGACAATTTGCCAGCTAGCCGCCATTCCTTTTGTCTCTGACGCACGGCCTGTTTGGAGCATGGATTACCTGCCTCCCATTGACTGTCCCTGTCATCCTCTGCCACCCTCTGTAATGGCCCCCTCTTGCGTTCCCAGTTACGACCAGTATTCTGACGGCTGGGACACCTCCGTCACCATCAACATCGAGGGCGAGCCCGTCAGGTTCTTCCACGCCATCAAGAAGGGCGTCCACCGCGTCTTCGTCGACCACCCCTGGTGAGACCGCTGCGAGGGGCGCGGCCGCCGACGTCTCGCGGGCTGCCTAAGCAAGGGGCGCGCTCGCTCGACCTCCCGAGGTTCCAAGTCGCACTTCCAGAGCAACGCACCACACCGACTGGTGCCACCTCCAGGCTCCCGCCTCTGCTGCTGCGGACACCGCACTGCTTCAGCCCTCTCTGAAACAGGCGGCTGGCCCACGGCTGCCGGTTTGGAGGCGCCTGAGAGTGAGTGTAGCTGGTACCCAACGCCCACGCGGCTCGTGCCTCGCCTCCATCCCCAACCCCAATCCCGGCCCTTGCCAGGTTCCTGGCCAAGGTGTGGGGCAAGACCGGGGCCAAGCTCTACGGCAGCCGCACGGGCGCTGACTACCTTGACAACCACAAGCGCTTCGCCCTCTTCTGCCGCGCCGCCATTGAGGCCGTGAGGGTGCTGCCCTTTGGCCCGGGGGAGGACGTCACGTTCATTGCCAACGACTGGCACAGCTCCCTGGTGCCCCTGCTGATCAAGGTGCGCTGGCCCATAATGCAGGCTCATGGCACGAAATTGTCACGGCGCCATGCGTGCGTAGCTGGCGCTGGTGGCGCCACCACTGCTTGCACGTGCATGTCCGCTGCGTGCTGTTGCTGGGTCAGCACTACAGGAAGACCCTTGCTCCAAACGGCAGCCCAATCTAGCCAGCCGCAATCCACCCTGGCCCCAACCCATCCCCACTCCTCCTCCCCCCCTCACTGCCTGCCCCAGGACGTGTACCAGCCGCGCGGCGAGTTCACGCAGGCCAAGACGGCCCTGTGCATCCACAACATCGCGTTCCAGGGCCGCTTCTGGCCCGAGACCTTCCAGGACCTGGGCCTGCCCCAGAGCAGCCTGGACAGCCTGAGCTTCACCGACGGCTACGATAGGGTGAGGGCCGGGCCCTGCGTTGGCTCATTTTGGCTGAATGAGCATTCATGGGCCGTATGGGACTGGCACGATCGGGCAGGCCTTGCCTGGGTGTGCTTGCCACCCAGGTGGGACCATAGTGATTTATGCTGCTGCTCATCTCTGCATTGGTGTGCATCCGCCGCCCTTTGCTCGCAGGGGTCCCTTCAAGTAGCTAATCAACCCCCAACCTCTGTCCTGCCCAATGCGCGCCCTCGCGGCTTTCGTGCGCCTGCGTGCCCTGCGTGTTTTCGCCCCCGCCCCCAGGTGTTCAACGAGCAGGAGCCGCTGGAGGAGGACGAGGTGACCCCTCTCAGGGGGAAGGGCACCTTCAGCAAGATCAACTGGCTCAAGGCGGGCCTGCTCACAGCTGACAAGGTAGGTCGATTTTTTGCAAGGGAGGAGCGGCGAGGTTGGCGGGGTGTTTGATGAGGGCATCCCCTGCCTTGCAAGGGGCAGTCAGGGGGGGTGGCCACTCTTTTGTCCTGCAATGTGCCTGCACACCGCCGGCTTGTACTGCCCAACAACACGCCCTCCGCTGGCGTCACCCACCGTCAACCATCTGTCAACACCGTGGGGGACGGGCGTGGGTGCGTTGACAGGTGTCTCAGCACTACTAAACCTCCTCCATGTACACCAGCCTTCCACCCTGTACAAAAGCCCTTGTCCCCCCCCATGGCCATGACTCATCAGGTCCTGACGGTCAGCCCCAACTACGCCCAGGAGATCAGCACCGGCGTCGACACGGGGGTGGAGCTGGATGACGTCATCCGCGAGGTGGGTGGGGGGCGCAGTGCTGTGCGCAAGAATGACAGCGCCACGCTTATCCGCATGCGTCAGCCAAAAACGCACATCCTGGGGCCGCTGCAACAAAGCAGGCGATTCCCGTGTCTCGTGGCGTCTCCAGAACAGTCAGTCCCTCTAGCTGTGGCATCAGACAGTGCCACGGCATCACCCACTTCTCGGAACGGGTCGCTGGCTGCATAGGTTGGCTTGAACTTCATTTGTGAATAACTCGTCCCTGCCGCATGTTCCCCACGCAGGTTGGTGGTGCAGAGGGCATTGTCAATGGGATGGACCTGGAGGAGTGGGACCCCGCGCGCGACAAGTACCTGACAGTGCCATACGACGAGAAGAGCGTCATTGAGGTGGGGGCTGCGCCCGCCAGAAGTGGTACATTGTTCTGGGGCGTGTGCCAGGGCCCCACACAAGTGCGTGTGTGTGTGTGTGGGGGGGGGGGGAGGACGAGGAGACATGGTGTGGTGCGCGCAGTGGCACAAGAGTGGGTGCCAAGTCAGGTGCAAAGGCACAAAAGAATTTGTGGCAGGCCAGGTTGCGCGTGCCGTTGAATTGTTGTGACGGCGCCCTAACGCCTTTTCTCATATTGCTGCTGCTGCCTGCCCGAACCCCACCGTCACAGGGCAAGGCGGCCGCCAAGGCCAAGCTGCAGGCTGAGATGGGGCTGCCCGTGGACCCCTCGGTGCCACTCTTTGGCTATATCGGGCGCCTCGAGGAGCAGAAGGGTGAGCAAACAAACACCGCCGCTGGGCAGCGAACGATGGGTGCCGGCCGGCAGCTGTTGAGCTGTGGAGTCGGCTGGTCCGGGTGCTGGTTGCAGATTGACAGCAGATTGCAATCCGTTCCCAGCCTGTGTGCAGCACGACCCTGGCGGTACAGACGGCTGGTGGCGCCTGCAGTACGACGTCAAATTGCTTTCCGACAACGCCGAGCGACAGCAGGTTGGAGCCATCCGGCGCGTCATGCGCTCGAACGTGTGTGCGTGTGCACGCGTCTCTGCGCTCACCGCAGGCACCGACATCCTGCTGGAGGCGCTGCCCAAGATCACCGCCGCAGGCGGCGTGCAGGTGGCCATCCTGGGGACAGGCAAGGCCAAGTACGAGGCCAAGGTCAAGGCCGCGAGCAAGGTGACACAAGGCAGTGGATGGGGTGGGGCAGTTTGGCTGGCGTTGCTGTCGCGGCGGGCTTACAGGCATCCGTTGTGAGCGAGTGCGGCTTGGCCAGTCACGAACCCTTGTCGCTTTCCTTGAAGCACACGCTGCCTCAACACTCGTGGCAGTTGCATAATCACACAATCTCTCAGTTACCACTTCTGCAGCTCTGCAAAGGCCCTATCCCACTGCTGTACACGCCCCTCACGCGCTGCTCACCCACCCCGTGCAGCTCCCGGGTGTGAAGGGTGTGGTGAAGTTCAGCGCCCCCCTGGCCCACCTCATCACAGCGGGCGCCGACTTCATCCTGGTGCCCAGCCGCTTTGAGCCCTGCGGCCTCATCCGTGAGTGGGGGAAAGGGGTCGACGCTTTGGGGGGGGGGGCTGGTGAGTAGTGACAGGTGGACGAATGGTGTTGTGAGTGTTGTGAGTGGTACGCCTGTGTTTCCTCTCAACAGACATTTGCAAAGCGAATGGTCGCTGAGCACTCTGAGTTCAGATAAAGGCAAAAGCTATGTTCATTGCTGCCAGCTTTGGAGTTTGGCAGGCAAGGTCGTTACTGCACCGGCTGAGTAATTGCCGCCCTCTGCTACTGGCCATGCGTGGCCCGTCATCATCGCGGCACGCACTGCTGCGCCTCGCATCGGTCCTCCAAGAGCTGCACGCCATGCACGTGAGCTGAGAGGGGCACATGGCCCAAACAACAAGGGGACGGCAGCTTCTAGGCAGCATGCAGTGACTGGGTGTGGAGCTCTGCTTTACTGTGGTGGTGGAAGGTGGCTGCAGGAGGTTCCAATTCAGGGCTTTCGGCTGTGCAGATATACGTACGCCCTGGCAGCGCAGCCCACGCAGCGACGCATGGCTGCCTCTGTACCCTCAGTAACATTGCCTAACGCTCCCACAAATGCGCCGCTTGCACACCTGCACTGCAAAGTACGGCACCCCACCGCTGGTGTCGTCGACCGGCGGTCTCGTCGACACCGTGAAGGAGGGGGTGAGCGGGACCTGTGAGACCCGCCCTAGACGCATGAACCGCATCACCTGGCGCATCACGCTGCACCACTTGACACAGTCCTGCTTCGCATCTTACTTGCAGCGTGCCAAACAAATACGCACGGCAGTCAGCCGCAATAACCCTGCCAGCCATTCATCACTCACAGCACAGCACCTGCCTTGACCCCTGTTTTACACCTCACGCGCCTCACGCCTGCGCTCTCCTCCTGTTTGCCCCAAATTTACTGTGCCATCACGCACGCACGCACACACGCACCCAGATCACGGGCTTCCACATGGGTCACATGGACCTGGACGAGCTGACTCAGGGTGACGTGGACGCGGTCGCCGCCACGGTGGTGCGCGCCGCGGCGGCCCACAAGAGCGGCCAGTGGGAGGCCATGGTTCACGCCGCCATCAACCAGGACCTGTCCTGGGCCAAGCCCGCCAAGAAGTGGGAGGCCGTGCTGGAGGTGAGGGGCGCCCCCGCTGGCTGGCCCACGGCGCTTGAGTGGCTTGATAGTTGGCGTCAGACGACGGCATGCACCATCACCCAAACCATTTTGCAAAGGCATGCAATATTGATAAATCACCACACCCGAGCATTGTGTACGTGAGGAACTGGCAATTTGCACATTTCAGCTGACCCCATAACCTTGTCCATGACACCCCCAGGAGCTGAAGTTTGGCTGCCCCAGGGCGCCCGCAAAGAAGGCCGAGGTGGCCACCCCTGTGCAAGAACCCGCACCCAAGAGGGCGGCCGCCACCGCTCGCCGCTGATTGGAAGGTGCAGAGTCTGCAGCTGCCTCTGCCCCCCGCCAGCACGCCTTTGACAGAATCGGTTGCCCAACTTACTTGGCCAAGTGCGCAGGGCTACATGATTTGCCGATTTTGCTGCATGGCTCACAATGACCAGGACTGGTCCATCAGGTGCTGAATGACCCGCCAGCCGTCTGAGAAGGCCTCGTGCATTTTGTGTGCCAGACTTTACACACAGTTCTGCAAGTTGAGGGACGGGCCGGAAAGGGCCACAGTTTTCTCCCCCTGCCTCATTTTCAGCATGTGCGTCGATTTTGTGCGCGTGGGTGGCGCCGCTGCACGCACCTGCTGCAGGGATGCGTGCGGTGCGATCACCAAGCCAGCCAGGGTGCTGCTGCGTGAGCTGGTGCTTTTTGCTGCACATGACGTGCAACAATGCAAGCGGCATGAGGTGAGCGTTGAGAGACCCAGGTGGGAGGCGTGGCTCAGGCAGTGAAGAGAGGGGAGGGAGACGTGCAACATGTTTGATGAGGACCAGACCCCCTCTCCATAACACACCGCCAGTGAACAGGCGTGTCGCTGTTGTGCGGCTTCAGGTTGCTGCCGAACAAGGACTGACACACGTTTCACAGTTGAGGTTGGCAGTTCCATTCAGCCGTGCGGTGCCACCGGGACGCAGGAGCTGGTTGGATATTGCCAGCGGTATGCAGCCAACGATTATGTGTAATCCCTCTGCATGTGTCAGCAGAATGAGTTGCCGGGTTGCACGGTGGGGGCGCGCTGACGATGCAATGTAGTCCCAGGTGTATAAACAGCAGGTGTGAGGGCGGGTGGAGCAACGGCCCGCAGGCAGGCGGGGCCGGATAACGAGCATGTTGTCAGCGGGCCGGGATAGACGCGGCTGCGCAAGCGCTGTCAGGCAGCTGATCGGCCGGCGTTGTGCGGCGGGCTGCGGCAGTAATCAGCGCAGGTGGCACCCGGAACTGCTCGCCAGCCACCTTACTTCAAAATGGCAAGGCCATGTTGGATTATATGGCGATGCACCACGGGCAGGGTGGTAGCAGGGGGGACTGCTATCAAGGCATGAAGTTGATGGTGTGCTGTGTCTTTTCCTGTTATGGTGCCAGGCTGCAGAGTTGTGCACATGTGAGCTGCTGCGGGCAGCAATACGCAATTGCAGGATCCATAGAGGTAGGCATACGGTAGTGTGTGGTGCGATGCACTCCCGTTGCCGGCAAGAGTGCTATAGTGCGAGGTCATACAAACGATGATTCTGGACAGCTGTTTTGAACAAAGCGCACAGTTTTGACTACCGTATTGGCGATGCAGTGTCAGAGCACTGTCACAGATCTGCAGTGCCGCACTCGGCAGTCGGGTCATGGCAGCCGCCGCTTCCCTGACCTGAACTGACGCGCCTCCGATAAGAACTTGAATAGCAATGGATTGACGCACATGTGAGTATCATAGCATCATTTTATCAGCGACACAAGCGTTTCGAAGCAAATCAGCAGGTCACCCGGTGTGTCTGGCGACCAGCGAGTCGCAGGCACACAAACTCTTTCCTTACACCGAATATACTCTCTCTGAACATCTGAGCTGCGAGCGCCGCGACATCGGCAGCCTAGACGCGTTCGTATCCCTTCCAGCTCAAAGCCTGCGGCTAGCGCCCAGTCTCAACGAGCGCATCCGAACGACCATCTCTTAGCGTCTGTTTTCGTGGCTGCTGTGAGGCCCAGAGCAGCACTTGCGGTGACTTGCCAACACAGCGCGCCACCCCCGCGCCGGCGGCCGTGCGCGCGGCTGCTCTCCAGCCCACAGCACCTGGCAGGACCTGTCAGTGGCTCATTGGTGCTCAAGGTCACCAACGCCAAGCTTCCCTAGCAGTGCCTGCGTGCGCCACCGCCGCAGCCCCGAGGCACCATGGCGGACCTGTCCCACGCCGGCTATGTGGCCCTGTGCTACGCACTCTCCGTGTTTCTCCTCGTGGCTTTCGCCGCATATGCCGTCGGCTACGGCGTCTGGTTCCAGAGGCGCCGCATGAAGATTGTCGATACCGAGGGCTTCACCACGGCGCGCGGCACGCAGTCGCTGTGGCGCATTGGGTGGTCCTTCTTCTGCGGCGCCATCGGTGAGGGGGTGGGGGCGAGGGGCTGGAAGGGGCTGCCCGGGGACGGGGGTAACTGCACTGCTGCTTCTGCTGCTGCCTGTGCACGCTGGCTGCATGCGACACCCAATGGGCGGAGGGAGGCCGTTAAACGGCAATGCAGGCAGGCGTGCGGGCCACTGACAGTCTGATGGCCACCGCCGCCCCACTGCCTTCAGCTGCTGGCTTCCGGCCGACCCCATCTGTGCGCTCGCGACCATCCACGATAGCCGCCTGATCACCCAGCCCGGGCCGCCAGCTCCTGCAGCCCCCTCTGTTGTTTCTTGACAAGCCCGAGTTGTTCGCTCCTGCTCCACGCCCCCGCACCAACTCTCTACCCTCAGCCCTGCCTCATGAACTGGCAGACCACCTCCCCGGGCATCGCAGGCGCAACCTCCTTGCCCCACTCCCTGCTCCGCCCCTTTCGTTCAAGCCCTTGCCGCCACCCACCATCCCACACGGCACGCCCGCCTCATCCCGCGGCCCTCCCCCCCCCCCCACGCACTCCCCAGG